ACAGTGAAAATGTTAATAAACCATGAGCATAACATTCAAGAAGTATGGGATAGCATAAAAAGATCAAATTTAAGAGTTATTGGGATAGAGGAAGATACAGAGGTCCAAACCAAAGGAATGAACAATCTATTCAATTAAATAATATCAGAAAACTTTCCAAACATGAAGAATGAATTGGAAACTGTTGAGGGCCATAGCTGAGTCGGGATGATGCATGGCATTTTTGCCAGAAGTGGTGGTTGAGAGATGACGCCAGCAAGCCATTAAGATGATGAATTTTGAGTTCTCGCGGAATTCCCGTTGAGTTCCGGTTGAGCTCTCACGGGGATTCCTGAAGAGTTCTCATTGGTTGGGGAAGTGCTGGAGGAAGGAATTCTGGTTGGTGGTTCCTGGAGGAGCAGCATGGCGTTTGGGAGAGTTCCCGGGGAGCGTGTGTGGAGTGTACTGGTGGAGTTCAGAAATAAAGTTTGTTCCTGCTTCAGTGGCTCGTGATTTGTGCCCAGCCAGACTGCGGCAGGAAACCCCCTAATCTCCATCATGTTGTATTAGGCCCCAGCTTCCTTAATAAGACTCCTATAGCACAAGAATTAAAAATAAGAACCAATTAATGGGATGGACTCAAACTAAAAAGTTTCTTCTCAGCAAAAGAAACAATCTGTGAGGGCTGGGGTTGTGGCTCAGCAGTAGAGCACTCGCCTAGCACACACGAGACCCTAGGTTCGATCCTCAGCACCACATAAAAATAAATAAAGGTACTGTGTCCAACTACAACTAAAAAATAAATATTAAAAATATATTTAAAAAAGAAAAGAAACAATCTGTGAGGTAGAGAGCTTACATCTTGGGAGCAAATTTTTACCCCTCACACATCAGAGCACTAATCTCTAGGGTATATAAAGAACTCAAAAAGCTAAGCCCCAAAATAACAAATAACCCCATCAATAAATGGGCCAAGGACCTGAACAGACACTTCTCAGAAGATGACATACAATCAATCAACAAATATATGAAAAAATGCTCATCATCTCTAGCAATTAGAGAAACGCAAATCAAAACTACCCTAAGATATCATCTCACTCCAGTCAGAATGGCAGCTATTCAGAATACAAACCACAATAAGTGTTGGCGAGGATGTGGGGAAAAAGGCACACTCATACATTGTTGGTGGGACTGCAAATGGTGCAGCCAATACAGAAAGCAGTATGGAGATTCCTTGGAAAACTGGAAATGGAACCACCATTTGACCCAGCTATCCCTCTTCTCAGTCTATACCCAAAGGACTTCAAAACAGCTTACTACAGGGACACAGCCTCATCAATGTTTATAGCAGCTCAATTCCCAATAGCTAAACTGTGAAACCAACCTAGATGCCCTTCAGTATATGAATGGATAAAAAAAAATGTGGCATATATACACAATTGAATATTACTTGGCAATAAAAGAGAATAAAATCATGGTATTTGCAGGTAAATGGATGGAGTTGGAGAAGATAATCCTAAATGAAGTTAGCCAATCCCAAAAAACCAAATGCCGAATGTTTTCTCTGATATAAGGAGGCTGATTCATAGTTGGGTAGGGAGAGGGAGCATGGGAGGAATAGATGAACTCCAAATAGGGCAAAGGAGTCGGAGGTGAAGGGAGGGGGCATGGAGTTAGAAATGCAGTTGGAATGAGATGGACATCATTACCCAAAGTACATATATGAAGATAGGAATGCTATGAAGATACTTTGTATACAACCAGATATATGAAAAATTGTGCTCTATACGTGTAATATGAATTGTAATTCATTCTGCTGCATATATAACAAATTAGAATTAAAAATTAAAGAAAATAATAATAGTTGAGACTGAATTGGGGGATTATTTGAATTTATGTTCTTTTTGCTTACCTGTAGTTTCTAATTTCTCTGCATCCATTTTATTGTATCATTTTAAAATACTCTATTACATATGTTCTACAGTCCTTACAAATCTTTCTGTAATGATTAATTTTACTGGTCACTTTGATGAGATTAAGGGATACCCAGGAACCTGGAAGAGCATTATTTTGGGGGTATGACTGAAAGACTGTTTCCAGAGAAAAATAGCATTTGAATCAGTAAACTGAGTAAGGAAGACCCATTCTAACCCAATGTGAAATGTGTGCTTTCTCTCTCTCTTCCCCCACCCATCCCACATCCAACTTCTCCTGCCTATGGAGAAGGTTTTCTGACTTGGATTCTAGGAGATGCACCACTGAATCCCCAGGCCCCCAGGTCTTTGGACTTTGACAGTTAAAGAAATAGAAAGGATCAGCTCCCCTGGTTCTCAAGCCCTCAGGCTTGGACTGAGACACACTATTGTCCAGCTTTCAGATGGACTATCCTGGGACTTCTCAGTCTCCATGATTGTGTGAGACAATCCCCTAATAAATTTTCTTTCATATATCTACATTTATATCCATATCTAGATCTAGATCTTGTTGAGTCTGTTTCTCTAAATAACCCAGGATAATTCCCTTGCCAACGAATTTTAAAATGTATTTGAAAACAAAAAGGGATGAACAGCATAGAAATGGCAAAGTAATATGTAGTCAACTCCCCAAAGTGGATAGAAAACCCATTGGGAAACATTTAACATAATAATGAGCATTCAAGAATAGTCATCTGGGTTGGTACTAATCACCCCCCCACCACCACCACATATACACACACACTCACACATACTGAGTTCCCCTTAAAAGCAGAGCCAGAGACAAAAACTTGGGTACAGGTTCACTTATCTCAGAGGTGTTCACAGGATGCAGAAGTGACAGAATGAGAAAAATAAAAAAGAAGGGAGAGATACCATCAAAAGTGCACTAATAAGCAGCAATGGCTAGGTGAAGTAGGACTTAATCCCACAGGAACTCTGAGAAACTATGCAGATAAAGTTCAAAATGTCCCCCAGCCCCATGGGAACCTGGAACAATGGCTCACCAGCACCCATTCCACACAATATGGACTGCCTTGGGAGTGGCAGCTCACTTCCAGGTTGTACCTCCAAGCAGCCTGTGTGACCTCCCACAGCCTCAGAGATAACCCTGAGGTCAAACAGCAGAGTCGCCCTGGAAACACACATGATGCAGGAGACTGGCAATGGAAGTGTGCCCAGAGCCATGTGGAATCTGGATGTTTTGGAAGAGACAAGCATCTTTTTGCCCAAACCCAGTGAATAGGACAATGTGATTTTGTTGGCAGAATTCTCAGGCAGCGATGAACCCCACCATCACTCCCTACTTGCTGCCCTTTCTTCCTCCCCACATAGCTCCTGGGACCATCCATCCCCCATTTTCAGCTGTTTGGTGAAGTGAGGCTCACAAGGAGTTTCCCCAATGCCCACATGAGGCTCCACATATCCTATGCTCTGGCCTCACTGAACAGCTTCCTTCATATCATGACACCCCCAAACTCCCCCTACCCCTGCAATGCCTTTCCTTCACCACTCCTCCCTGGCTCCTCCTATAAGAGCTTCCAGGTCTAGCCCAGATGTCAGGATCACCCAGAGGTCAAAAGAAGCCCAGATGGGGTGAGGGCTGGTAATGGATGAAATAGGACTGGCCACAAGTGGAGTGGATAATAGCTGATACCTGGTGATGTGGACATGGGCCCAGGACGACATTCCCTCTACTTGTACATACGTATATTTGAAATTTTCCATAACTGAAAATTAAAAATAGGACTTACTGTGCCAGACACGAAGGAACTGAGTTTCCTTTAAGAAAAATAATTGCTGTTCAACTATGAAGAATGAAGCTGGCCAATAGGGTTCACCTCAGCATTCAGGCAGAGGTCTCACTCACCTGAACCGCCCCAGCCAATGGACAAGCCCAGTTGCAGGTATGAGACCCAGCGGGTTCTGCCCACTGGGGACTCCCCAAGTGAGTGGTTCTTGCTCTGGAGCTTCCCCCGGTGTTGGTGGAGACCTTGTCAGACCTGCATTGCAGTCAGGGGCCCTCCTTGTTCCTTTCTGCCACTTCCTCTCTTTTCATTCTGCATTGCACTCGGCAGCCTTTCCCTATCCAATCCCACTTCCGACACCTTTGCCTTTCCCAGGTGTGACTCCTCAATAAAACTTTGACTTCCACCTTGGTAATGGCATCCCAAAAGACTTAACTTGACACAATGGTCACCAACCCAACCCCTGCAAAGCCCCCAAAATAATAAAGAAATAACAAATACACACATCATTTTGTATATAAATTTTTGCATATAATAAACTAACGTTTTTTTACACTAAAAAAATACAGTGGCTATGTATATAATGTGATTTTGAAATGTTATCAAAAATTTAATTTGTGGTCCTTTGCGGAAATGAAGCCCCTGTCTGGGTTCTCCTTTCATCTCACCCATATGCTGGTCCTACCAGATATCACAATCCCGGGAAGTTCTCCAAGATCACCCCAGGATGGGTTGGGTAGCCTCTTCTATGCTCCTATAACACCCTAATCTCTGCCACTAGATAACCGTCCCATGCTGGTCCTGGCTGTAGAAATTCTGCCTACCTACTTCTGCTGTGCCCCAAATCAGCTGTGAGCAGCTGGAGAACCCAGCATATAGTAGGGTGCTCAATAAGTGAATCTGGGTCAATCATTGACAGGCATAAGGACCCTATACAGGACCCATCTCCACAGTGATCCTGCAGATTTATAAAAGGCTTAGGAAGAGTGACTGGATGACCCCTTTCAGTTTGGAGTTGACATGAAAATGGAGGCGGGAAGCCTTGTTATAACTCTTTCTCAAGCCCTGGGATTCAGGGAACCCTACCAAACACCTCTGGCCCTCTAGGGCAGGGCACCTCACAGGTAGAGAAGGGAAGATCATATCTGTCCCCTATTCTGTTTCTCTCTGAAGGGAAGACCTCTTAGTAGCTAGTAAAGGCAAGAAACCTAGCAGCAGCCTCTTTTGTTGAGGTAGGACCCTAGCTGGCTTCAGCCAGGTGACAAGGCTGGTTTTCCTGCCAGCCAGGCTCTGGTCAGGATCACCAGCCAGAAACCCTGGGTCTGCCAGAGCTCCAAGGACCGGCATCAGACTTCTCTGGTGGCTTTGAGCAGGACAAGGGCTTTGTTTTCTCTCTTTGATCCAGATCCTGGGGAAGATCTTCCAAGGAAGAGATCTCCAAGTCACTCTCATCTTCAGAAAGCTGTGGGGTGTAAGGGGAGAAGAAAATGCATTTTGATAAATGCAGGAGAACAATAGAAAGGTAAGCACCATGCAGGACGGAAATGAGGACAAATGCAGATTTGGAAGACACTACTCCTGCCTTCTCAAGAGAACTTGCTCAAGAGACCTCAGAGGCCACAGAGATTTCAAATACCCTTGGAACTCTACTAACCAAACCTTGGAAAGATCTGTGTGTATATCTGTTGCTCGCATTTTCATTCAAATTTTTGCAGATTTTTAACTCCCCATATGGACAGAACTGGAAATCAGAACCTCAACCTCTGCAAGTTCTAGAGCTGAATGCACCATAGGAAGGGACACAGGACCCTTCAGTTTGAAAGGGGTTCAACTGCAGACAATGAGGGTTCAGAGTTCACAGAGGAATCAGGCAACCCCAGACCACAGCAACAGCCCGGGCCAGGCCTTCCCCTCTTGGTGCCCCCGCTGATCACCTGGGCTTCAATATTAGACACTCTATGTATTTTCTCCTGGCATGTAAGGCCAACCAATCAGAAACCACCTGGGGCCTTGAACTGCAAGTATGCTCTGATCAGCGCCTCCATCTGTTTTGGACAGTTGGTCCTCTTTCATGAGGTGGGAAAAGGGATATGATAAACCAAATACACTAAGTAATAAGAAGAATGAGCAGGGGGATACTATTTTAAAAAAAAAGAAGAAGAAGCTGGTTGTTCAGCTCAGTGGTACAGCAGTTGCCTAGCATACATGAGGCTCTGGGTTCAATCCCCAGCACTGTTAAAAAAAAAAGAAAGAAAGAAAGAAAAGAAACAAACAAAGAATGATTGTCCACTACTTCTGGCTTCAGGGCATTAGCACTGAGTATTCCAAAATGCACCTCTTTGACTAAGAAGGTGAGAAAGGAGCGTGGAGTTAGTGAGGTCTAAGTTTTCCTACCTAAGGAAATAACAGGAGTGTGGAAGGTGATAAGGGGCTGGTAATGGTAGGGGAAGTGCCATATCTGAGTCTAAAAGTCTGATGGCAGCTACAGCCTGATGGAAGCAAGGCCATCAGGTCACTTAGTGATGAGCCATGGCCTTGAATAACAAAATTATCTAAATATTGCCATTTTACATTGTCGCCTCTGATGGTACCACTCTAAGGCCTACCCCTGCAGGGAAGGGTTCTGCTCTGTACACAGCCTTGAGTTATGATAGAGTGAGGGCTTGGGAGGAGCCCACCATGGAAGAGATAATGCAGGAATAAAGCAGCCACAACAGAAACCATATGTGGTCAGTTCCCAGACTCTTAGAGGCAGATGACTAAGAATTAAACCTACTGAACGGATGCTTGTATAATGAACCAAAAGGATTTTTTTTTTTTTTTTTTTTTTTTTGCATGTGTGGTACTAGGAATTGAACTCATGAGTGCTTTACCACAGAGCTACATCCCCAGCCCTTTTTATATTTTATTTTGAGAGAGGGTCTAACTAAGTTGCCTAGGTTGGCCTTGAGCTTGTGATCCTCCAACCTCAGCCTCCCAGGTCACTGGGATTACAAGCTTGTGCCATTGCATCTGGCTCAAAAGGATTCTAATGTTAACATGGACACAAAAAGAATTCTAAAGTGGCCATCTCTCCACATGTGTAGGGGTATAGAGAGACAATGTCACATTCAATATCCTATGAAGGTCAAGGCTGACACTTGTGGGACCCTCCCCCCAACTCTCACCCCAGGCCCTTCAAATATCAGGGCTACCCCAAGCATCCCGCATCCTACCTGAGGCTTCCCTCTTGGCGTGGAAGCCCTCTGCAGCCCTGTGTTGGACCTCAAGAACAGACTGACCCCTCCAGCAGGCTTCTTTGCAGGAGTCTCAAGCTGCTTCTCAAGGTTTTTGACCATCGACTGGACCAGCGTTCCTGGAAGGGGGACAAGTGGTTTGTCACTGGAAAGAGCTGGAGAGTGAATGCTTCATCCTTATGGGTCACATCCAGACTACAATGTGATAGAGGAAGTGGGGAGAGGGTCAGGAGGAAGAATGTAGGGCAACCACAAAGAAAAAAGGCAAGGAGATAGAAGGCCCAGGCCCGCATATGCCCAGTTCCAAGGGGCTTGGAATATTCTGAATGTGTCACTATACTGACTTGACATTGCAGCTGATGGTGGCTCAGGAAGACGTCCTCCCCTCTCAGTGGAGGCTGAGGTGGACCCCTGCTCAGTGTGATGCAAGAACTAACATGCAGATGGGCTCTTCTTCAAAACTTTCACACAGAGACAAGAATAAATATTAATTATGAATTAGCACAGGAGAACTGAAGAAGAGAAAGGCTTTCTGTGAACTCCATGTAGGAAACAGGAACTGAACAGAGATGGAGATCATTATCAGGCCCTGATGCCTGAAACCAAGGTGATATAGAGACAGAAGGCTGACCAGGAAGCAGGGACCTAACTCCACACAGCCTTCTAGGACTCAAATGCCTGGGGCCTGAGAAAGTGTTTTAAGCTACAATAGATCCTGGCTAACTGACTCATTTAAAAAATGTTTGTTAAGAGCTTACTATGTGTTCCTTACCCTCTTACTAATCATGTTGTCCAAACACCTCATTTTACAACAAAGGAACCAAAATCTATGCACCAGGACAAGCAAGTAGCAAGTGACAGAGCCAGAACTGCCTCAGGAGATTCCTGACTCCCTGCCAGCCTATGGCCCTGATTGGTAGGGCATCGAGACTTCTCCAGGGATCCAGTTCTACTGGATTCTCATGGGCTGACAGGCTTGACTTATGCTGAAGTACTGCAGAGTCCATTAAGGACAGGGACTTGCAGATTGCAAACCTAGGCGTATGGGTCAGTCAGCTGTGCATTGCTGTGACCAAAATTCCTGACATGCACAACTTAGAGGAGGAAAAGCTTATTTTGAGCTCATGGTTTTGGAGATTAAGTCCATGGTCAGCCAGCTCCATTGCTTTGGACCCAAGATGACACAGAACATCGTGATGAAAGGGTACAGTGGAGGAAAGCTGCTATGCTCATGGTGACCAGGAAGAGTGGGTAAAGGGAGTGTCCCAAAAAAGAAGAACTCTTACAGGATACGCCCCCAGTAACCCACCTCCTCCAGCCACACCCATACCTGCCTACAGGTACTATTCATTCATCCCAGTTCAAACTGGGATGGACAGATTAGGTTACAGCCCTCAAATTCCAATCATTTCACCTCTGCATTAACACAGGAGCTTTGGGAGGAAGAGATCTCCAAGTCACTCTCAAAAATCCAAAATCCAAAAGCTTTTCTTGCTGACCCTGGAAACATAAAATTCTATACTCTTCAGCTCAGCCACGGAGAGAAAATGCAACTGAAGCTATAGTCCTCTGTTAGCAGTTTTATAAGAAAAACTTGCAAGAATGGAAAGGATACAGGTGTTCTGAGAAGAAGAATGCTCAACTAGTCATTGTAGCCTGTTATACAGGAGATGGTAAGTTTAAGGGACAGTTAAGCACTCTAATTACCATATTATTTAACTCACATCTGTATGATGCTCTGTTCACCAACAAGCTGAATTCCTATCTGTCTCTTTGCCATAAAGGGCAAAGACCTTTCTTGTATGATTGAAGGACTGCTGTGCTCCACGGGCTGATGGAAGAGACTGAGACAGCCCATTGAAAAGACTTCCTGTTCATTTCTGTGGTCAAAGGCTCCCCATCTCTGCTTAAGAACTTGGGTTGGACCCCTCCTGAGGCACCTCCTGTTCACATCTGTCTCTTCTCCCCCTTTTGTGCAAAAGCCTGTAGGGGGCCCAGGACAGGGCTGCCTGAGGCCGTGGTAAGTCAGGGTCACATCTTTCCCTTGTCAGGGCTGTGAGGAGTAAACAAGAGTCTTCTGTGGACAGATATACACAGAGCTGAGCCCGTGGTGAGTACTCAGTAATAAATGTAGAGGGAAACTTTTTCTCTCTGCCTCAAGCTTCTGCAGAAGAACTTCTTCATCCACCTGGATGGGTAAGAATGGGAGAGGTGCCCACTCAGTTTCTCCCCACACCACCCTGTTCTCTCCTACCCACAGAAGAAGCCAAGAAGAAGGGAGGAACGACAAAATCCCCTGGGCGGTGACAATGCCACTCTTTCTGTCTGACCCTCTCCCTGCACCTGTGGCGCGGTTTGGAGGTCAAGTGGAAAATTCCCACAGCTGCCTGTTTAAGATTCTGCCCCTCAGGTTTGCTTTACCAACTCAACCCTTGGCACAGGTACATTCAGGATCTGGATTTGGGGAGCTTGGAGGGGACCCCACTTAGGCTGTTTCTTCACTCTAGCCCTAACAGGAATGCCTTAGATATTATCTAATGCCTTAAATATTCCTGGACCCTATCATCCTTAACAGAATGAGGCTTTGATCTCAATGTATCTGGTGAAAGTGTTTATTCTCTATCTGTAAGAATGTGGAGGAGAAAAGAAGTGGGTTCCTCCAACATCCAACAGTTAAACAACTCAGTGACGACACAAGGTACCAAATAAACCTACCAAATAAACCTCACCCATGTTCTAGCTTTTTCCTGAGATCTCTCTATCCCCTCCCCCCCCCAAAAAAAAAAATCTGAGGGGAAGGAGGATCACATTTTCCAAGTTAAACAAACAAAGAGATGCCAAGTCAGAAATCCCAAGAAACTTGTCCTAGAGAAGGGCTACCTGAGGGGTCCCACTCACCCGAGGAAGCCAGGCCACCTGAGCTCTTGCCAGGGGACTGGGCATTCTCCTCTGAGGTCTCAGTGTCAGACCAGTCCCAGGAATCCTCCAGCTTGGGCACTGTCCTGGAAGGAGTCCGTGGAGGCTGGAGAGGCACGTGATGCCCAGTGTCCCCCTCCAACTCCTCTTCAGAACTGAATGGGGGCGTGCTGCTGCATGAAGGAGAAGAAATGAAGGATACATGAACCAGAAAGAAAATTTTAAAATCCAAAGTGAACCACCTTGCTAGATGGTTTGGTCTTCCTAGAGCTAGCCCTCTTCTGTCCCTTGGGCTCTGATGATAGCCAGGAGCTGCACAGGAGTGGACCCATCACACCAGCTTCTCCTCCAGAAGGGGCTCAGAAGGAGGCAGCCCTGCTGGCCTGAGGACCCCATCCTCCTGTGTAGCAACCGGGGTTGGAGGAAGAGTTGGGGAAGGGGAGGATAGGCCTGTCTTGCCTGGGAGCAAAGGATTCCCAGCTTGGGTTGGACTCCACCTGAAGCACCTCCTATTGACATCTCTACCCCACAACCCATTTTCTGCAGAAGCCTGTAGGGAGCCCAGGACAGGGGTGGCTGAGGCCAGGGACACCACCAGTAAGAGGCCTGAGCTCAGGGCTCACCTCAACCCGGGCCCTGGAGAAGCAGGGATGCTGGAGGGTTTGTGTAGCCTGGGGCGTGGAGTAGGGGTGGACACCTGGGCCAGGCCAAGGCCACGGCTGCTGCGGTTCTGAAGGGTTGGTGTGGGTGACTCTGCCAGCTTGGATGGCAACACCTTGTGCAGGGTCCTGGTCTTTGGCTGGGCCTTTCCGGTATCCAGTGGGCTCTGCTGGCTTTTGACTAGAAATACAGAAAAGAATGACTTTTAGAGCATGCCTGTGCTGGGTTCTCAAGCCTGAGAGGATATAGAAAGAGGGTCCGACACACTGGAGATGGGCAAGGCACTCAGTTGCAGTGAGCAGTAATAACTACAGCAGATTTAAGTTACCCTACTCCAGGAGTCCCTCTGAGGGGAGCACAGTTCCACAGTTTCATCAGACTAAGAGAACAGCAGGGTGTCATTACAGGAGACCCACAGGAGTCAGCAGGTCTGAGCACCCTGAGCTGTCCTAGAGCTGGACCTTGGTCTTGGCAATGTTCCCTCCCTACTTGCTGCTGGAATATAGGCAACCTTGCAGGAAGGTCCTGCTGCCACCAGAGGTCGCCGCAGGACTACATGGGCCATCCTCCTCCCACATGCAACCTCCTCCCACATGCAGCCTGGGGCCACCGTGTGCCTGGCAATTAGATAGACCCCTCCGTTTTCCAAATTGCATCAGGATTCGCTGTTGTGGGGCGGTGGGGGGAGGGCCCAACAGTTGATTATGAAATGAATAGGACAGAAAGGGCATCACAGAGAGTCCAAGTGCTCTCCATAAAACGTATATGTTTGAATAGAGTTTCTTACTGCAGTAACTCAAGGTAAAAAACATTTGAAATACACTGCTTTCAGAAAATGCATTTACTCAGAAGTGAACCTAGCAAAGAGTGAGATGAAGAGAAGGGAAAGGTGAAAACAAACTTGCTGAAGGAAAACAACAACTGTTCACAATTGCTGTGTACCAGGTCCAAACAAAGCACTTCATACAACATCCATTCGGTGGCCAGAGCATCTTCAGACAGCATTGTTCTGCCTTACAGGGGCTTTGAGAGATTAAGGAACTTGCCCATAGCTCCATGGAAGAAAGTGATAGATGCAAACCCTGGTAGTCTCTCTGCCCCAAATATTCACCCCTGATGCCAATTTTGCTGCATCCCACAATTCCACTCCCAAGCAAGAGAAGAGGCATGGTCTGATCAGAGATAGGAAGAGAGCGTTGGCAGAGCATCTGTGGGGTCTTGGAGGAGAGCGTGGGCTCAGAGCTGGAAGGAAATGATTACAAAGTACCATAAACCAGTGCCCTCCTCTCACACCTCAGTTTTCTGGACCTGGAGCCAGGGAAGGAGAGAGGTCAAGAGAAAGTGGGTGGCACATAGAGGGACAAAGACACCTTTCCTTTCTCTTGGAAGCTGGCGCTCTGAGGATGTTTCCATTCATCTTCCCTGAGTCACTGTCCCCTCCCTCCTCAGAAGTCCCACCACCTCTGTGCCTGGCTCCATTGTATCACCTAGTCCTGGCTAGTTTCCCAGGTAAGGGGACAGTCCCGGCACAAAGTCAACCTCAGCAAATACTGTACTAAAATGAAAACGGGGGGCGGGGGGAGATGAATTAATGAGTGGACATTTGTACAAATGAGCAAACCAAAGCCATGAAAAGCATGTTAGTAACCAGAACAAATACCCCATGTGAGAGATGTCTATGTACAGCAAGATCTGTCCTTTCCTTAGAGATTTGACAAGACCAGCAGTTTATACTGAATAGGATAGTTTCCCCGATCATCACATAATTTTTATCCCATTCTCATACCAACTGTCCTGTTATTTAACATTTTTATATAAAATGACAGCACTTGTAAACATAAAATACCTGTTTTATACTTGTCCAAGTAATAATTTGCATGAGCTCACAGGATTGCTCTATTGGAAATACTCTTTTTTTTTTCTAATTCATGTGAAGAAAAATAAACCTTAAATTTTAAAAAGATTGGTTTGTGTAGTGCTAAAATCTTCCATCTTGTTTCCAGAAATATGCAGACCACACTTTACAAAATCTCTTTGCCTAGGGAGCTCAGATTGGGTCTGTCCAGACATGAGATCCAGAATTAGCCTCCTTCTGAGCCACATGTGTCCACACCTAAGGAGATGATATGAAGGAAGCTGAGCATCGTCTGCATGAATAGACCTAGGCCCACAGAAGCCCTCCATAGAGCCTCCAGGTCAGCAGAAACACAGTGGACCTAGGAATCCTCTAGAAATGCAGCCTTTCAAATCTAGGAAGGAAAGTTTCCCTAGTCCACAAGATCTTTGAGGGAAGAGACCTGAGTGTTGTTGTCCATATATTTTAATCTTCCACCAAAACACAGAGTCTCGCCTTGTCAACCCATGGGAACAGGGACAATTGGCAAAGCAATAACTTTGACTTGAGCAGGGAACAAAGCTTGAGCCCTGAAGATTTGTCTGAAAGCAGCTCAGCCCAGCCCAGCTTCTGTGCCACTGCTCAAGGCAGAGAATCGCTGCACTATGAGGAAGTTTTGATTTGATTGATACTTGCTCCACCCTGCTACCTTAATGCTTGTCTCCCACATTGGCGTGCCTGGTGTGCAGAGGCAGATACCACCTGGGCTGCTGTCTGTTGGAGCAAAATTGAACCTATGATCAAAGCAAGTCAAGCAAGGCCAGATGCAAGGGAGGCCTCATGTCTGAGCAGGAGGTCAGACTGGCCACAAGCTCCAGCTCTGCATCTCCTCCAGCTAGAATGACCCCTGGACAAGTGGCCCCTCAACCCAATTCCTAATTATTTTCCCAGAACAAGACTTTTGGACTTATTAGCCCTTGAGGATCAGCTCAGCCCTTCATGGCAACGCCTCATGGGAGGAACTGCACACCCTCTTCATGTGCCAACAAGCCTTGGTGAGAACAGGATCCTCCCAGGTCACAGTCCCAAAGCAAGCCCTGTCCCCAGCCTACCTGGAGGCTGACCATCCTGATGAAACACGGAAGCCTCGGTCTGTCTCTCCTTCACTCTGCGGATGGTTTCCTTGACAAGCTTTTCCCTCAGGCTCAGAAATTCAGAAAACTTCCGGGCCCTCTGCTCCCGCTGGGCTCTCAGTAGGGACTCCAGGTGTTTGAAGGTCTGAACTGGGATTCCCTTTGCATCCTAGCAGAGACAGAAATTCACCTTTGCAGACAGAAGCTGCCCTTCTTCTTCCCCTATTCTCATGCCTGTAGCGGCTGACCTGGGGGTCTCTGTAATTGGCGCCTGATATGTTTTAGGTGGCAGATGGGGAGTGAAATGAGGTTCAGAGGAGGGAGAGCAGGGGCCTCACAGGTTGCTCAAAGGGTGGTGATTTAGGGCTTGGGAGCCCCACCAAAATGTGCATAATAACATAACTGCAAAGGGTTGTGTCACAATTCCATGCATATCACAGCATAAGGGGCTTTATTTGGGACAAACTTTTCCAATACCCACTGAATCCTAAGATGATCGGTCACTTGCTCTTTTTTAAACCCCCACGAACTATCACCATTCACATATGCTATCCCCAGATAAAGATGTTTGAATAACTAAACTGCAAAACATAAATTACTGGAAGTTTCCAAGGGTTTTGGCATCTACCCAGAGCCCATAAGAGCATCTTCGGAGACTTCTGATTCCAAGACAGGGATTCATCCAAGTTTAGAAATATTTTAAGTCTGAATATAGGAGCAAGGTTAGATTAAGCAGTAGTTAAAAAAAAAAAACAGTCCAAATTAGTGAACATCCTTCCTGAATTAAACCTACGAGTCTATTTTTTTCTCTAATCTCACTCATTGAAATACAAATGGCATTTTCAATGATGCCATGCTCAGCTAATCTTAATAACAAGATGTTTTTACTTAATAATAGATTTCATTGGTGCCATTAATGATAATGTAAATGCTCTGGCTAAACACAATGGTACTCAAATACTATCTGGCAGCAAATGCAGCTTTCAGTGCCTGTCCCACCAACAGGCACAAACTGAGTGGGCATAGTATGTTTGTCACAGGTGATGGACTCACAGATGGATATTTATCCAAAGGGGACCTATCCATAGGCCAAACTGAGCCAATTAAATTCCCTCTGTCAGACAATTTGGAAACCCAGAAGTTGCCCATGAGTGGAGAACACTAAGGGGTCAAGGTGTAGGGGCCACCAATAGCCAAATAAGGCCATTCACAAGATGCCATTGGAAGGCACGTGGATTTCCCTTTATGCATATCAAAGGAGCCCAGGTCAGAACAAATGAATGGATGAGTTTACAAAGAAAAGAACAATTGATCACTTGTCAGTTTGAGAACACTTTGTGACTCAGTTGTAGGTGTGGCCCTTTAAATGGCGGTCCTAGAACCTACCCTCTTTATCCCCATGTCTTCCATCTTCTCTTGCAGGGTGTCCTCCAGGATGGGCCGGAACTGCTTCAGCAAGGAAGAGTTTTGCCTCAGAGCTGCCAGTACCTTCTGCTGCTCGTGTGGGGAGTCTTCTAGCTCTGTAGCCCAAAACAATCACCAAGGTCAGCGTGTCCACCTGAGACCCCCATTTGCAGAGACCCATGCACCTGCCAGGCCCTCATGCTGCCAGTGATCTTGGCCTCCTCCTCCAAAGTGATCACCTGCGCCAGAAGCTGGGGTGTTTCTGCTCCTGGGTACCACTGTCCCAGACCCTTCAGTATGCTCATTCCCTCTCTGTCTGGACCTCCCAAATCTGGGCTCAGTCAATCCTGCCACAGATTAACTCGTTTGGGCTTTGCACTTGAACCCTGAAAGTAACTTGATCCTGAGCTCCATTCTGGTCCCAAATTCTGGGCTCTTGTTCTGCCAGCTCCATAATCCTCCACCTGCCATCCTCATCCCAATGCCAGGTCCAGTTCTGTTTTGGCTCAGGAGACAAATTGGTGGGCAAGATAGACAGATCTCTGCTTTTTTCAAGTTCGCTGTCTAGATCAGGGGTTCTCCCTCCAACTGCAGCATGTATCAGAATCACCTGGGTTAAAAATACCCATTCCCTGGCTATACTCTGCCCAGAGTCTGATTGTTCAAGTCAGGGGAACGGCCCTGAAATCTGTATTTTCCACAGGCCCTGATTCTCATGGAGATGAGCCATGGGCTGCACATTTATAAATACAGATCCACAAGGTAACAAAAAAAAGCAATTACAATAAAACATGCTAACTGCTACAAAGGGGCAGTACAGAATCAGTCAGGAAGGCACCGTGCTTAGAGCTGAACCAACCCCTGAAATTCACTCAACAGACATTTACTACACAAGTAGAACAAAGGTATGAACAGACTAGAGTGGATGCTGGGGACATAGAAGAAATCCATCTCCTCTAACAGAGCTCAAGGTCAGGGCTGATTAATCTCAACTTCAACAGCACATTGAAACCAACCCAGGTTAATTACTTCAGAATTTCAAAGGGTGGGTTCCCAACCCTGGATGTTTATTTTTAAAACTTCCTGAACATTCTAACAAACACCATCACCCAGTAAGTTGCAAGATATGCAGATTCTTAGCTCCTATCCCAAATCCACTGAATCAAAAATTCTGCAGGTGGGGCCCAACAATCTGCACGAAAACAACCCCCACCCCATGATCACCAACCCCCTAACCCAACCCAACCCTCCACGGCTGATTCTCCTCAATGAAGTTTGCACTGGGACAGGCACCTCAACCATGGCTGTGCATCAGAATCACCTGGCAGCTTGAAATGCTTCTGGTGCCCACAGCCCATCCCCTACATGGTGTGCTTCAAGAAGCTGGGGACCAAAAGCAGGGGACCAAAAGCTAACCTGTGGCAGGACTGACTGAGCCCAGATCTGGGACAGTAGTACCCTGGAGCAGAAATACCCCAGCTTCCAGCCCAGGGGGACACTTAGGAGTAGGAGTCAGTAGCCCTGGGCTCCCAGGCTGGAGACCAGGTCCTGGTGATTCTCAATGTGCAGCCAGTTGTAGAGAGCCACTGGTCTCACAATGAACCCCAAACACGAGCAGGAATCAGAATGCCCTGGAGCACATGAAAACACAGACTGCTAGGCCCTGCCCTTAAGATCTCTGTAGTTTATCTAGGATGGGGCCTGAGAATTTGCAAATTTGCATTTCTAACAAGTTCCCAAGTCAGGCTTCTGCCTACTGCTCTGGAGCAGAGCTTCCTCTCGCACTGTTTTTCCCAAGTGCATAGACTACTATCTCAAAAATAAATAAATAAATAAAAAATATATATATATATATATATATAATATATATATACATTTTTAAAATAAAATAAGGCCAGGCACAGTGGCAAACGCCTGTATTCCCAGCGACTCAGGAGGCTGAGGCAAGAGCATAAGGAGTTCAAAGCCAGCCCCAGCAACAGCAAGGCACTAAGCAATTCAGTGAGACCCTATCTCTAAATAAAACACAAAATAGGGCTGGAGATATGGCTCAGTGGTTGAGTGCCCCTGAGTTCAACCCCTGGTACAAGAAAAGAAAAGAAAAAAAAAAAGCTGTGATGAACTCTGGTGACAGAAGTCTAACCCTTCCTGGAGATACATCTATTGGGTAACTTTGGAATTGTCCTATCACAGTCTCACTGAGTGCCCAGGCCTTGGTCAGTAGGTTGCCCTGAAAGAGTACATTCTTGTTTCCCCAGGGAGCTTCCTCTCTCTGCTGTGCTTTAGAAACTCCTTTCGGTCAGGAAGCATGTCTATTTTTTTCATCTCTCTTATGTATCCCCTCACAACATCTGGTTGAGAGCTCTGCAAATCAGAATCAGTCAGCAAATGAGGTGTGTGAAAACAGCAGGTACTCAGTCCTTTGAACAGGGAGCAAGGCAGACTCCTGCACATAGTCAGGCCCTGTGGGAACCATCCGCAGCACACTCACAATGCAGAGTGAAACAGAAAAGGCCATTTTTAAGTCAATAGACTCAGAGCAAGCCACCAACTTTGTCTGAGCCTGGGTTTCCCCATCAGTGAACCAGAAGATTGCATGTGAATGCATGCATGTGACATACCTGGCACACACAGGTACTAAAGACATTATTTCACATTCTTAATTCCCTCCACCCCTAGCTTCAGTGTCCAGAGACAGCTAAGTAGAAACAAACTAAACAACCAAGACAGCAGCAAAGCTGTTTTCTGCACTGAACACCCAGAAAAGAAGAAGCGCCACCTTCCTCAGGAGAGTCCTCCTCTGTGTCCACAGCCTTTGGCACCTCTTGGGTCCCTGAAAAGAATAGATATAGTTAGTGGCTCCAGTACCCTGTACCCCATCCCAACTTTAGACAAAAGGGAAGCACCCCAGGTGACTACTGGTCAGAAGGAGCAAGCCCTCCAGTCAATTCATCTTTATTAGAGAGAGGCAGGATGGAGCAGTGGTCACAACCACGGACAATGGAGGCAGAATGATTGGAGTTCACATGCCAGCTCTGTCCCTCATTAGCACGAGATAGAAAGTCCTTGAACCTCCATAAGCCAAAGTTTCCTCATCTAGAAAATAAAGATAATGCCCACCCTACAGTAAATTGTGGAGATAACATGATATAGTGTAATTCAGGCAAGGTGAGTTTAAAAACCTACTCATGAACCCTAGTCCACCAATCACTGCCCCCAAGATCCTTGCCCCTCCCCTTTGCCTCCATATTCTTACAGAGAAGAGAAAGCCTGCCAGCGGGTGGAAAGTCTTCAAAGTTCAGTGTCGTCTGCCCCAGGAGCTCCCTGGGAAAGCCTAACACGACATGTCCCATGGACCGCTGTCACCAATCCTCTGCCTATAAATTGATGGGGGTTGCGGGGAGAAGAACCCAAGACTGGTAAAAACAATTCCCTGAAGACTTACTCTCCACCTTCCTGAGGGACAAGGTCTGGATCTGTAAGAGGTAGAACAGAGCAGGTTAGAGTCTGGTAAGAACATGTGGGGATCCTGCTCTGAGCAGTAGACCTGTCTAGCATGGTGAAGAAGGGACTGCCACTGTTGTCATGCCACCCACTGAAACTGGAAGACACTCAGATGCACTGCCCCAGCCTCCTGGCACACCTCTTACAGTCCACATGTGAAAGGGGATGGAGCTCAGGTGGGACAGGGACAACCCAGATGACAGCCCACTCCATTTCCCCAAGGTGGAGAGGTAAGAATGACCCCTTTTCAGAGAAGGGACACTTTTTCAGCCTGGAGGGAAGGAGCTGCTTTGTGCCCCTTATGCCAAAGAGTTCTTCTCTCCCCTCCAGGAACCTAAAGAGCCCAGAGGAATCCAAAGCAATCCTTGCAGAAAAAAAGGCCTAGGGGCAGCAGGGCCTGATGGGAGGAGGAGAGACCTACCATCTCCTCCTGGGAGGCAATGAGCCTGGCTTGTTCCTGTAGTTGGGCCCGGAGGGCATTGATCTGGCGCTGAGACTGGGCAGCTGCCTTCCTCTGGTCCTGAGACAGGGAGGCCTGGAGCCTCTCATTCTCCTCCTGCAGCTGGTGGACACAAGGATGGCTGGTAGGTCAAATGTCTGCAGGGACTTCAGAGTGTCTGGTGCCCACAGGGTCTGTTTCTGGAGACAAATACTGGTAAAGGGTTCACTTGAACCAGGGTAGAGGATTTCTAGAGCTGGGCAGGTGGCTTTCTAATAACATCTGTGGGGTGTTCCTAAGGAGTAAGAATGGAACACAGGTCCCTAAGACCAGGAGAGAAAGGGCCCTCTGACAGATGTGATTATCCACTGAGGGTAAATTGAGACCATTAAAAAAAATCATTCAATGCCATGATTTAGGTGAAGAAAATGTGTTAACATGCTACTTTTAACATAATAGCAAAAGCAAAATGAATCTATTTATTAATATTTGATAAAGGAACTCTAGAAGAATATACAAGAAAGCAATAGAAGTCATCACCTGTGAGAGGGGACAGGTGAGAATGACTTCTCCATGTACCTTAGTATATTTCTTCTGCTTTTGGAACCAATTTGAGTATGTTTTCTATTTGAAAATATTTCAAATAAAATAAAACCCATCACATGGCCACCACACACCCCTATGATGAAGTGGGGAGCAGCATCAGCCATGGGCCGGGCTCTGACCTGAGCCTTGTCATCTCCTGAGCTTTCTACGGCAGAACCTGGGTCCCTGGCTAACCAGTGACCTCCTCAACTGACCCCCTCCTCATGGACGTGTGTACAGAAGCAGTTCTCATTGCCCTGAGGCCTGTACTGGGCTCAGGAACTGAACTCTACATTTGGACCCCCAGTGTAATATCACTAAGGTCCGTTGTCACCTGGTTCTCTGGGCTTGGGGGCTTTTAAGGAAAACCCCAAACATGGACCAGGTGACTGATCTGAGGTTTATAAGACAAGAGGGCCTCAGCACTGAATGAAGGACTTTGTTGGGCTCAGAAGACAAGGCCTGGAGTCCCCAGCCCCTGCCCAGGAAAACTACTAACCCATCAGCTGACCAATTCTTTATATTGATAGCAACCAGCATCTGGGAACAATATTAGCAAGAAAATATCTGCCATCCAGTTATAGGTGGGATTGGGTGGAAGAGGTGGAATGGAAGGATGCGGAATCATCAGAGGAGGTCACGGGAACCATGTCCCCAGACCACCCAGGGACAACTACCTCTCTCCTCTCAGCCATACGCTCTTCCTGCAGTTTCTTCATTTTTCTCTTCCACTCTGTATTCTGAAAAAGATTAAAAGCTTATTAAATGGGCCCTTCTAGATATTAAATATATATCAGAAAACTACAGAAATTAAAAAGTACTGGCTCATGATTAGGCAGACAGACTAATAGAATAGAATAGAAAGCTCGGACAAAGAGGGGGGAAAAAATGGAAACTTAGTTGGTGAGGGAAAGGGGAGATGGATTATTGACTAATGATGTTCAAATAAGTACTATCTGTCTAGAAAAAATATGAACATGGATCCATATTTAATATTTTAAACCGAAATAAATTCTAGATGGGTCAAAGAATTAAATGTAAAAATTAAAGCCATAAAAGTACTGAAAGAAAATTCTTTTTAAATCATTTCTTTTTAAATCTCAAGAGTAGGAAAGGCCATAAAGAAAAGATTGATAATTTGATCATTTTAATGACATAAAACATTCTTTATTTTTGTATGGCTAAGCCATAATAAATGGAGTTGAAGACCAAAGAGAAAAACTTCGGAAAATAGCCACAACTAGAACAATAAAGGGCTGGGCTAATTTCCACACACTACCCACAAATGGGCAAGAAAAACATCAATAATAGAAAAATTGGCAATAATAGAAAATTGGCAAAGAAGTTCGTAGAAAAAGAATGGCTGCTTTATGATGGGAAACTTGTGAAGTATCTATGGGTGGAAATGCTGCATTGCTGAGAGTTAAATTTGAAGCTCTGTCTCAACCACCTTGGAGAGCAGAAACAGAAGCACCTGTGATTTAATGACTGTCAACTGTCCTTCCCTACCATGGAATTATCAGTGACACAGACCACCTGTAATTGAACTGGAGTAAGATTCACCCACCAGCCAGAGCCACCAGCTGGGTCAGAGCAGATGGTGCATAAGTTTACCCAGTTTCATTCAGTGACGTCACCTCACCTTGCTACCATGAAATCAGCCATAGTGGGAGTATTTACACCACAGCAAATGGCAAATGCTACAAATCAAAACTGTATTTTAGCTCCAGAGAGCTAGTTTAGTTTCTCATTTACCATCACACCAGTGGGTCCATCCTAAATATCTTCAAATCCAGGAAACAATCACACTTTCTGAATTGTTTTCAACTGGGTTAGGATAAAAATCATGACAAAGGTGTCACCCCATATATGTTTGTATATATTTTGGAAATATATCAGTCAAGTCAGACCTTGGACACCTAGCACCAGCCTTGCCTGAGAACCTTGCTCTACCCTCTCATGAGTTGGCACAAGATCTGAAAATACAGACCTTTGATGTCTTGCAATTCCCCTAAATCCATATGGCAAAAAATGAGAGGCTTTGTTGGAGATAACAAGGTTCTGGGCTTGCTCTAGAACCTTGGACTGCACAGAGCATGATCACCTGAATCTCCATCTTCTCTCTCAGGGCCTGGAGCTCCTGCACCTGCCTGAGTCGCTCCTCTGACTCCTCATCCCGCAGCGATCCGAGGTGGGACTCTGTTGCACTGTGAGACCGCAGTGCCTGCAGTTTCTGAAAAGGCCAGGGCATAATATCATTTAGAAGAAGATCTAGTCATCTCATTGACTTTTACACCTTATGCCAATACAGTGTCAGAAGGGCACAACCTACCCCACACACGAACCCCCAACTAGTCTTTACTAAGCACCCACGTGCCTGTACATGTTCACATGAATCAGCATTGCCCTTCACAAGGGTTGTCCTGAGGGCTCAGCCCTTGCACAGGGGAAGCAAGCTCCCAGGGAAGAACAGAACCCAAGAGAATACTTCCAATTCCACTAAAATTCTGCCATACTCAAAACCCTGAGCTCACCTGATTGCTGCCCATTTCTTCCCCAGTTTGGAATATGCTGTGGAGAACCACATTCTTAGAGTTCAGGGGAAGGACTCAGGCATCCCAGGCCACCCCTGAGGCCTCCTTCCCCTCTTCCACAAAACAAAAAGTCCTGTCACCTGAAGGGCTGGTTTTGCACATAAAAGCCCAGTCCACTGATTCCAGAACTAGCAGAGTATGAGAAGGAAAAGGCACAGGAAATCAGATCAAAGAGGAAACACCAAGGGCTGGGGTTTAGCTCAGTGGCAGAGCACTTGCTTAGCACACATGGGACTCTGGTTCAATTCCCGGCACCAAATAAATAACAACAAAGAGCTGGGGTTGTGGCTCAGCGGTAGAGCACTTTCCTAGCATGTGTGGGGCCCTGGGTTCAATCCTCAGCACCACATAAAAATAAATAAATAAAATAAAGGTATTGTGTCCAACTACAACTAAAAAAATAAAATAACAACAAAGAGACAGAAATGTCTTTCCACCTACCTGTGGTTATTGTGGTTATATACACTACTACTGCACTAACAAAAGCAACACATACCCATTCATATACTGTATAAAAATAAATAAAAGTAATGTAAACTAAGAAATGAATTTTTGAGAATAAACAGGTTTTCAACAAAAGAACTTTGAAATGCTTTTTATGTTTTTACTCTACCTCTTCTAGCGTAGAGTTCTGGTTGGCAACGGTTTTAAATTCATCCCAAAATAATTGCTTTAGCTTGTCTATTTCCCCATAAAGCTTGGTCCGCTCTTTTTCTTTCCATTCATCAAAGTGCTTCTTAGCTTCTATTTCCCTCTGACGAGTGAACTCTGCTTCCTACCAAAAATAAAAAGGAAAGAAAGAACAAAGAGAAAAAAAGGAAGGAAAGAAAGAAGAAAAAAGCAAGAACAATGTAAATCATTAATTCCACAATATAGCAAATATTGCTGAGAATTTGCAAAGGCCCCCCATTCATGCTTGTCACCATGGAGACAAAGGGTATTTGTCCCATTGTTGTTTGGATCTAGAACTGGCCATTCTAAATCAGCCAAACCTCAATTGTGAAGTCCCTTGAGAACAGGACTTGTCTTCTCTTTCTTTATACTCCTGGCAATGCCTGGCATAGTTGGTGCTCAATAAATGCATGCAGAGAAAATGAATGATGAATGAACAAATGAATAAATGAAGGAATGAGCAGCAAGTTTGTCTTTTCATTCAGCAAATATTTACTAAACATTTCTTCCAGTCTGGGTTCTGGAACTTTCGGAATCAAATCCAGTCTTTGTTCTCAGAAAACCAACTAAGAGGATAGAGTAAGGAGTTAAAATTCAAGATCAATGGCTTCGGGGGGTGCGGACTAATGCAAGAATTCTGCAACTCTCCACTCTACTTTTGGCCACACAGGTCTGGCAAAATAATTTGATTCTCCCTTCCAAACTACCTAAAATCATTTGCCACATCCAAGAAGGTGCCATTCTAGCTCTGACTCCCAGCTCTGATGACAGCTGGAATTTCAGCCCTGTGGGGTTCATGTGCCTCAGAGGTCTAAGTAGCCAGCGACCTAAGTCTCCCCGATTCCTGTGCCCACCTGGAGCTGCCGCTGCCTCTCAGCTTCCCTCTGAGCTTCCAGCTCCCCTTGGGTCCATTTTAGCTTGGCCTGTAGCTCTTCCAACACCTCCTCCACAGGCTTCTCTTGCTTCTGTTTTCCTGGGGCTTCATGACAAGAGAGGGTAGAAAGGTAGTTTCTTGCCTCTGCAGTCACACCTCAGTTCAGGACCAGCTTTGCCACCTAGTTCATTGACTTTGGGCAAAGCACGTAGCATTCCTGACCCTGTTTCCCAAACTGCAAAATGGAAATCACAACAGCACCCAATTCAGAAGGGGTTAGTGAGGATGAAATGTGATAATGCAAATGCTCAGCATAGTGCCTTCATGACAGCTCCATAAATGGGAACTATTATTGTACTGTCATTTAAAATAAGCATTCTGAAAATACTGTCACATGGAAGTGCAAAATTACTAGAGTACCAGAAACAGAATTCGAGCATGCATATGCCATCTATTGATGGAAACATTTCTGGGTATCATTGCAGCAGAGGGAAACGTAAAGAAATTAAACATAAGTGTAGTTTTAAGGTCTTTTTTAAGTAATATTATTTAAATGTACAGTTTTAATTTTCAATTTTAAAAAAAAGGCAGCATGGAAAAAATTTTAACCAACATTGCTTTAAGTGTCTACTTTAAAATTTTTAATTGACAGACAAAATCGAATGTATGTATCATGCACAATGTGATGCTTTGAAGAATATACACACTGTGAAATGATTAAATGTAGATAATTTAACTATGTATTATCTCATTGGGGCACCAATGTGAGAGAACTCATAACAGTCTCTCTCTTAGCATTACTTCCAATTTTTTAAGTTAAAAAAATAATCTAGAATGAATTATAAAACTGCAATACAGGGGCGCAATTGTGGCTCGGGGTAGAGCGTTTGCCTCAATCCTCAATACCACATAAAAATAAATAAAATAAAGGTATTGTGTCCATCTACAACCAAAAAAAATTTTTTTTAAACTGCAGTACATACAAATAAATGCAAGAGTTAAGGATTAATAAAGACACCAATTATGTCTAATCATTTGTTAGGTTTTGAAGTATTAATAGTGATCTCTAAATAGATGGTACTGTTATAAAAGTTTGAATATTTTTCTTTGAAAAGAAGTGGTTTTCTCAGTTTGGATTTTTTTTGAAAACAAGTGATTTTTAGAAGGAGTATAAATTATTTTGGTTTAATAAGGAGATTTCTGGCAAGTGTGGAATAGCAGAGCTGGGCCTCTGGGGAGCCCACTCCTGGAGAATAAAACACCATGAACATTCATGTAGCAAAAGTGGCCTCAAGAACATATTTCCCTACTCCTTACATCAAGGAAATATTAAGAGATATGCACAAAGATTTACATATGAGAATATCAATCATCCTGTGATATATAATAGGGAAAATTTCAAATAACCCACATATTCAGTGGGAGAATATTATGAAATAAGTTATGATAGCCACATGAGAGAATTTAGTCATCAAAATTTCTATTTTCAAAGATAATTTAGTGTACAAAGCTTGATATATTCTTAAATGAAAATAAGTAATAGTCAAAATTGCATATTATGAAGCTGGGCGTGGTGGCACATGCCTGTAATCCCAGCAGCTCAGGAGGCTGAGACAGGAGGATCGCAAGTTCAAAGTCAACCTCAGCAAAAACAACTTGCTAAGCGACTCAGTGAGACCCTGTCTCTAAATAAAACACAAAATAGGGCGGGGTAGTTCCGCAGCAATGAACACCTCCTAATAAATCCCCCCAAAAAAAAAAAAAAAAAAAAAAATGCATATTATGATTACATATGTTGTACACAGAAAAAAAAACTGAGAGTATATCAAAATATTAACTGTTGGTGATATTGTCCATGGTTTTTATTTTCTCTTTCCTATATTCTTATTTTTAAAGTTTCTATATCAAAGACATATACTTTTATCAACACACCAGTATTTAAGACATGGAAATCTGTTTTACTTTAGCAGCCTGCAATGCACCAACAACTAGACACATAATAGAGGTAGAGGCTAGGTATATGATACTATTTTAAAAAGGGAATTCAAATAATAGAAAATAAAAAAGGTTTTCTTTAATGGGATTTTTATATTTATGTTACATATTTAGATTTATCTTACTTGTACAGCTAGCTATGTCTGTTGAACTTCAAAGAGTAGACATAAAGTATGATGATCTCTATTGGAACAACACACAGTCTTGGCACTCATTTGGGAATTCAAATGGTAAAATGTTTAAGTGGTTAAGTCAAGATAAGCTCAAGTATATGGAAAAGTCAAAAATCTGGTCTGACTGCTCCTTTACCCCATTTAAGCTCCTTCCTAGCAAGCCTCATAGAACTGCATATTCACAGACAGCTGGGAGGCAAGGGTCCTTCAAAGTCACCTCATCTGCCTGTCCCATTCTCTGGGAAGTCCACAGAAATCCAGAAGGGGAGCAATGACTAAGATGACATCACAGATAGGGACAAAGCTAAGACTGGAAACTACCCATCCACTCCCATCTCATCTTCCCCATACAGGCAGTCAACAACTCATCCAGCCCCCCGTGGGATCCCCCTCTGTGGACAGTAGGTCACCCCATCTGCATCTGGATGGTGAGACTCTAAGGGCCCAGATGGGTGTACAGGGTCCCCCTGTCCACTGAATGCCAGCCTATGCCCTTCCTCAGTTCCTGGCGGGTGGTGGGGTCAGGGGGACTGCAACTTGACTCACCTCCTTCTGCCACTCCTGCATGCCTGCGCTGGATGTGACCCCGGAGGAAAGTGGCATTCATGAATGTCTTGTCACATAAGTGGCACTACACAGAAGGGAAGCAATTGGGATTTTGGCATTAAATCTCCTGAGACATCTTCCATATATCAAAACACCCCTTCTCTTGGGACCCCCTGGGCTACTTCAGAAACAAAGAATTTAAGGAGCTGGGAATGCAGCTCAGTGATGGAGCACATGCTCAGCACATGCAAGGCCAATGGGGATCTCTGAACACTGACTGGTACTGGGGAATGATACTGAGGAATTTCTGTTGATTTTTCAGGATGTGATGATAGGGATGTGTTTATCTTTCAAAATGGGATTCCTCGCCCTTTAGAGATACATACTGAAACATTATAGATACAAGCATAGACCAATACACTTCAAGGTAGTTCAGGAGTGGGGGAAAGTGGGTGGAGATACACATGGAATGGCGTTGGCCACAAGATGAGAACTGCTGGGCTAACAGTACGTAGATGAAGGTTCACCATATCATCCTCTCTGCTTTGGTATATGTTTCAAATTTTTCATAAAAAAAGTATTCATTAAAAACAAATGCTGAATGTTTTCTCTGATATAAGGAGGCTGATTCATAGTGGGATAGGGAGGGGGAGCATGGGAGGAATAGATGAATTCAGAGCGGTGGGAGGGAAAAGGAGAGGGCAAGGGTTAACAAGGATGGTGGAATGTGATGGACATCATTATCCAAAGTACATGTATGGAGCTGGGGATGTGGCTCAAGCGGTAGCCCGCTCGCCTGGCATGCGTGCGGCCCGGGTTCGATCCTCAGCACCACATACTAACAAAGATGTTGTGTCCGCCGAAAACTAGAAAATGAACATTAAAGAATTCTCTCTCTCTCTCTCTCTCTCTCTCTCTCTCTCTAAAACAAAACAAAACAAAGTACATGTATGAAGACTTGAATTGGGTGTCAACATACTTTATATACAAACAGAGATATGAAAAATTGTGGTATATATGTATATTAAGAATGCAAAACAAAGTACATGTATAATGGCATAAATTGACGTGAACATACTTTATATACAAAGATACGAAAAATTATGCTCTATATGTGTAATAAGGACTATAATGCATTCCACTGTTGTAGTGTATTTAAAAAATAAAATAAAATCAATTAAAAAATAAAACATAACTGAAATATATGTGATTTTAAATCCTAAAAAAAAAAAAGCCAATGTCAGGCTAGGGGTGTGGCTCAATGGTACAGCACTTGCCTAGCATGCTCAAGGCCCTTATTCTGATTCCCCAGCACCACCAGAAAAAAAGAAGTCTTTCAGCTGGTATTGAAGAATTGATGTGGGTCTGGGTGCAGTGGCGCATGCCTATAATCCCAGCAGCTCAGAAGGCTAAGGCAGGAAGATCATGAGTTCAAAGCCAGCCTCAGCAACAGTGAGGCACTAAGCAACTCAGTGAGACCCTGTCTCTAAATGAAAATTGCAAAATAGGGCTGGGGATGTGGCTCAGTGGTTGAGTGTTCCTGAGTTCAATCTTTGATACCCTCCCCCTGCAAAAAAAGAAGAATTGATGATGTGGGGACGAGAACCTAGTGTCAAAAGTATTGTCGAGGACTAAAAAAAACAAGTCACCCATTCATTCCCAAACTTTGAGTTTCTTGAAACGTAAACCAACATAACCTGTGCCCAAAACCTCAGGGCCTGGCCACTGTGACAATTTATTATAGGGCCAATGTCTCCAGTCTGCATTTTCCATGGAGACAGATTCCAATGCTCAAAAGCTGCTCAGGGTAATGAACCATCACCTGGGTAAACAGTGGAGCCCCCTTCCAAAAATGAGGCCTACTATTCCCTTGGCACACATTGATTCTACACACCTACATCTTTACACAGTGCACTCTCTCTCTCTATACACACACACACACACACACACACACACATTCACACCCTCCATAAATGCACACATACCTAGGTACATACACTACATGTCCTTCATTTCTTCACATATACGTCCATACACACACCCTCCATAAGTACAAACACACTTCCTTACACACTTATGCACCATGCTTTCACACAAAGTACATCTTTATGTATACACTCTTGAGTTGCACCCTTCATGATATACCGGTCCAAACATATGTGACATGCCACATACTCTACATAAACACAAATATCAGTTGCTGAAGTACCTCCAAGATTCACCTACACACATTAAACACACATATTCACACCATCCACACACATACACATATCCTCCACACATTCACAAATACACACACTAGACATGCACCCTGTATATGTGCTTATACACATACATACTCCATGTACACCACCTCCATACATAGCTCTCACATGTGTACAGCTACCACACATACATAAACACACAGAGTAGAACCTGATCAGACATGCTCAGTATCTCAGACCACAAGCAACATCTCTAAAATCTATTCCTAACCAGTGAGAATGACCCATACTGGCCTTATGGCCCAGGACTGTGCTGGCCAGGTGGCCTGGTGGCTGGGGCACACAGACCCCACCCTCCCACCCTGTGCACTATGGTGGTTCCTCACCGTGTGGTAGCTGTGAGCACCTGTCTGCATCAGCAGCTGCTGCAGGGTGCTGATCATCTTGCGACGTCGGCGACTCTCCTCCCGCACTCCCTTGAGCTCATCGGCCTGGCGGCCCAGTTCCTGCTGGCCCCGCTGCTGCTGGCCCAGGCTGGCCTGCAGCCGTGCCTCCAACTGGGCAACACTGGCACTCAGGCAGTCCTGGCAGTGCAGCAGGTACTCTATGATGAGCTGTGCCAGGCGCAGCACCTTGAGCAGTACCACGTCCACAGGGTGCCCACAGCGGCTGCACACCTCCCGGTCCAAGTTGCAGAAGGTGACGCCAGCAATGTTCTCCTGCAGAGTGGCCACATCCAGCTCCCGAGCCACACGGTCCACATCCAGAGCGCTAATACGCCTCCAGTCTAGGCTCTCATTGCGAGGCTGGAACTTGAAAGTGGGGAGTGTGTAGACCCCATAGTGGGGGCTGCTAATACCCTCAGTAGTAGCGGCTGTGGACTGCATGGAGGGGAGAAACCCTGGACTGACCACCGGGCTGTGATGCCACCAAGGCCACGGCTGCTGGCCAAGGAACTGGAAGAGAGCCTGAAAATTGAGAAGAGAGTCCAAGTTAAGTAAGGTGTGTGTGGCTGCATGTACTGTGCAGCTGGTCAGCATCAGACCAAGTGGGCGAGTGGTTGCAATATAAGGAACACATGACGTAGAAAGGAAGGGTGTGGGCCTTGCAATTAATTGCATGGGTATAGATTTGAAACCTCTGTCTGGGCAAGATCCCTCCCTTTCAGCCTCCTGAATACATAAGGGACCAGAAGACCCATTTATCAGAAGATAAGGAATGAGGCAGGTGAAGCACCCAGCCTAGTGCTGGCACACAGTAGGTACTCAGAGAACCCTTCCAGACCCACCACAGGAGTCCCTGGCAGAGAACTTTGTCAGGTAGAGCTGTCAAATGTATAACTGGGTCCTTCTGCAACCCTACATGTGTCTCAGGACAATGTCCAACCACTTGCCATAGGTGGCAGAACCATCTACTAACCACCCAATCCTTGCCTTCTGTCATCACAGGGTTCCAGTGGAGCATGGTGGATTACATTTCCCAGCTTCCCCTACAGTGAGGTGTGATGACATAGCTAAACTCTCTCCCGTGGAATGCAAGTGAAATGATATCTACCTCTGCCAGGAGGGGCTCAAGAGAGCTGCCATGTCTCTGCACAGATTATGTTCAATCCAGAAAGAGCTTTTTTCCTTCAATTTTTTGCTGTGCTAGGAATTGAGCCAAATAGTAGTTTGATGATACCGGAGGGAATTTAAAGTGAATACTATAAATTTTGATTTAGATGGGATGTAGCTCAGAGTTAGAACACTCGCCTAGCATGCACGAGGCCCCGGGTTCTACCCCCAACACTGTAAAATAATAAAATAAAAATTAAAATTTAATTTAAAGTAAGTAAATAAATAAAATAGGTTGTTAAAAAAGAACTACAATTTATAGACAAACTCACATGTGTAAAGGAGCTTGAGAAAAAATTGTCATTGTAATACTGTTTATAAAAATGAAGTACAAGGAAATAAGAAAGCAAAAGACCATAAGGAATACAAAAGGAATTGTTATAAAATAAAAACTTTACATATACTGATATGTAACAATAATCTCATATATTAATGTATATACATAAATATTTCATTTGGTTTAATGATATATTAATATAATCATATTTACTAGCTCACAAAATTATTTATTATTAATTACTAACAATATTTATAAATATTAATTATTTACATATATGTCACACTGGAATGGTCACCTATGAGAAGAGGGCAATGGGAGTATAAATTAATAAATAAATGAATTGATGGATATGGCATGGATAGGAGGTGGTCAGATAGATAGGCCTTACACAAACCAGAGATAATTTGAATAATCTGTATCTGTTATAATTATATAAAATATATAATTATTATTCATGCATAAATTCATTTATATACAGGACTTCATGAGCATGGACAATTTGGTTTCATATATATATAATTTTTTTTACCTGTTGATGGACCTTTATTTTATTCATTTATTTTTATTTGGTGCTGAGAATCGAACCCAGTGCCTCACACATGCTAAGCAAGCGCTCTACCACTGAGCCACCACCCCAGGCCGCATGGGCAATTCTTGAAAGATGGACAAAACACTGTCAGCAATGGCTACCTCTAGAGAATGGAAAGGGAGGCTGGAGGACTTCTGTTTTTCATTTTCCACTTCTCTTAAGTTATTTGCAGTTCCCTTGAGGTACATGTTACCCTATTTAATCAAGTTCTTTCTGGATTGAGTGATTCAGACATGAAAATATAGTAGAAAGAGAAGAAAGGCCATTGACCTCAGGAAGGAGAAAGTCCTCGAGGAGAGGGGAGGCTGGGTTGGCACAGGGGAAGGGTCTCCAGGAAAGCACCTGGGCTTGCTGAGCTCTTCATCTGGGAAAGGCAGTGACAGGCCACTGTACGAAGTGGAAGAGAGGCGAGGGCATGGCACTCACAACTCAGGGAGTCTACACACGAACTTACAAACAGGCACAGGATTATTATTCCCATTTCACAAACAAGGAAACTGATGTCTGGAGAGGTTGAGTGTCTTGTCCCAGCTAGAAAGATTAGCATTGAAGTGCTAGTACACAGGCCTCTGGTTCCAAAGCTTGTGGACTTTGAACTACTAAACACTGATTCTTGGGGTTATTACTTTGATTAGAATCTCAGTCCTTTTCCCTCAAACTTCCAACTCATTCATTCATTGAAGGTACACCTCCGTGGGCCCAGCCCTATGCTAGGCACTGGGGGGCTTCCCAGATGTATCAACCACACACCTGCTCCCCACTGTCCAGCTCAGTGTGGCTCCTTCTTGTCACAGCACCAAGTGCAGGCCTCTTCGCCAGGTCTTGACACTGCCCACAGGATGCTGCAGACCCACCTTTTCAGTTTCAGCTCCCATCTTTCCTTCTTTTCTTGGATCCTCTTCCCTAACATACCCCAAAAACACAGCCATCCTGAATAAACACACACCCCTCCCCCATGGCCTACTTAACATATCACAAAAGGAAAAAAAAAAAAAAAAAAAGGAGCTGGGTGACATGGTACTCACCATGCTTAGCTCCAGCTAACTGCACCACTGGAGCCCCGGAGACAACTGCTCACAACAAGCGGTGCCTCAGAGCAACAGCAGGTTACCAGGCATGTTGCAGGCAAGGGTAACAGGACACCTGCTTCCTGTCCTCCCATAGACCATGAGCTCACCTGAAAACTTCACTGCTTAACTAATTAAGCTTTGGCCTCAGCTGCTTGCCAGCAGTCCTCCGCAAGAACAAGGCCAATAACTGCCCATCACCAACTCTCCCAGCTCTCCTCCCACCTCTTTGCCTCCTCTTTAAACAGTGACTATTCTTTCACCTTTCACTTAAAGCAGGACTGCCAGTGTAACCTTGAGATTTTTCTGTTCACCCATGATTCATTCTCCCTGCACACTGTCCTGGGGATGAGTTCACACATACAGCTTCAACTACCACAGGCTTGCTCTCGTATGAGCCTCAGACACCCCCGAATCTCTTTCTCTCTGGCCTTTCTCTCTTGTGACCCTAAGGCCCAATCCTTCTAAACTGAATATACCTAGAGTTGCAAACCCAAGTGCTACCAACACCAGGAAAGTAGCATTACATGCCTGAAGGGCCAGGTAAGGGAGAAGGCACAGCACAAGTTTGATGATAAATGGCAACTGATTCCCCACCTTAGAGTCCAAGATAAAGTAAGGCAGTGGTTCTCAAAGTATGTTCCCTGGACCATCAGCAGCAGCAGCAGCAGCACCCAAGAACTTGTTAGAAATGTAGCTTCCCACACTTAGGGGTTCAGAACCAGCATAGTAGATAGTGCTGGGATAAAGGAAAAGGAGGGAGGAGGGTGTGCCCTGTTTAAAAAGAGCAGCCACCACTGAACTTCAGCCATCTGGAAAAGAACGGTGTTTCTTGTAGGCTGACTGCAAATTCATTAAGAACGACATCCCAAGACTACATCTATGACTCTTTCCAAACCACCTTTCTAAGTGTAACTTCCACCACGGAGTTACTTTCTGTACACACTTTCACACCTCTGGGTGTTTATTTGAGTCTCAGGCACTGTTTTTCAGTAGCTTTACAGAGTAGAATTCATGTAATCCTCAGAACAACCCCTTGGGGAGGTATGCTTATTACCTATGCCACAGAGAAGTAAAGACCCCTGACCAAGGTCCAGAGGCTGGATTCAAACCTAGGCAGGTAACCTCTGGTCAGGACTGTTGGCCATTATTGAGCACCACCTCTTGTTATAGGGCTTCAGCCACCTCCTTCTGATCCTATTGAGGGTGGATGCATGCCTGAAAGCCCTGCTTATCATGATTACCACCAGAAAGCCCTTCCAGACCCACAGTCAAAATATCCTGGCCCTCCTAGTGTCCCAGAGCACAGAGTGTACAGTCTAGTCCATGTGGGGTGGCTGTGTAATATTCATTCATCCATCCATCAGCACAGGATTCCTGAGCCCCTGCTAAGTGCCAGGCACCGTAACTCACATTCAGATTGAATAGTGACCCAGGCAAACAGTCCCTGCCATTGTCAATAAAAAGAGTTAACATCTGTGGAATCCAACCTGTTTTACACACAGTTCTAAAGTTTTATGTGTGTTATCTGGTTCAATTCTCACAACCCATCATACAGACAAAGAAACTGAGAGAGTGAACAGAGAGGAAATGACTTTCACACAATGCCAACTGCAGTGTCTGGCTCCAGAGTTTGTTCTCCAAAAAGGCAGAAAAACACAGAAATTACTCACGGACTGGTAGGTGCCAGGGAAGGAGTTAAGAGAGGGTGCTGTGGGAGCACCAAGGAAGGTCCCTTACCAGAATATTTCTGTTTCTCCTCCTCCAACTCCAAGCTTTCCAGGACCTTCACCAGGACTCATTCCTATCTGTTGTATTCCAGCCCCTGACCAATTTTCCTGAGCTCAGATTGCTATAGAGCTGAGTAACATTGTCCAAATCTTAGAATAGCTGCCTACCTTCTTGGGGTCTTGAAGAAATGAAGCTATGAACCACCAAGAATTAGGGTAAAGAGTAAAAATGAAGTTAGGAGTCCTTCATGTGCACTCACTGGAGTGAAATAGCAGAGTAAAATGCTAGATTTGTTGACCGCCTGTGTCCACAGGTTGACTCCAATGGCTACTAATGAAAGCAGAGAGTGCAGGAGCCCTGTGGGTGGGCTCAGGCACACCAGTAAGGCATCCCAGTACCACACTGTCACTATGTGCCCTTGGTGTGATAGCTTGCATCCTGAGCCACTCTTAAACCTTTGCCTTCATACTCTGAGCATAGAGAGTAACATTCTCACTCCCAGTTATGCAGGATTTTGAATTAGTTTTTACTGTACCCCCAAAATACTATGCCTCTCTCCCTCTGGAACCCCAAGGGTCCAATTCTCAGAAGTCCTAGGGCTCTGGCA